AATTCTAGGACGTCACACGATTACCGCTTACTTAAAATGATTTTAACTCATACACTTTAAAGTGATTTTTGTTTGTTTGTTTGTTTTTATAATATTTTAAGCTAATTGACTTGAAAATAAAATTATCATAAAATTATTCGACTGTGACCTACTTTATTTAATTTTGACAATTGTTTCAAACATCCCCTCCCCTAAAGTATCCCTCAGTAAAACATCAAGTTTCACTGAATGGCCTACTGGATGACGTATATGATGAATATTCTACCTTACCGATTATTATCTCATTGTTAACCCAGGCTTCAATACCTGACCTGACAACTGGATGTCGGCTGATAGTTTTCTTCTTAAGTTTATAGACGTTTCTTGATGTTTTATAGTTTGAAGTCATCAAGTGATATTTGATATTGTTCATGAGTTCACTGCATGAGTGAAAATATCAGTTTCCATCCTATGAGATAAATCATAGTTGTTATTTATCGAGAAACACTGAATTTTCTGCTAATACCCTTTTTCTTTCCTTTCATTGGTGTTTGAATTTGCCGTCTATTTCCGCTCTAAAGTATTTCTCCGCTGTATAACACTGTAGTTTCACATCTCAGGCACAAACTTCAGCTAATATATGATGTCAGTACTCTAATTATAAAATACATTGGTCAGGAGCGATACACTACGATAAATTCCCCACACCTTTCACACGTCTATAAGGGTCACGCATTTCACCTTAGGAGAAATTGTCGTTTTTTTTTTTTTTATTTCATTGCAATGCTGTGATATGGCTTGTCTTAACAAAAATCACTAATATTTTCATATTTACATTTCATTGTGAAAATGTAGTAAATACCTGGAGTGAATTCAATAATAATAAGCAACTTACGATATAATTAATAAGTCATCCTTATATGTATACATCCAACATTCACAACAACAAGTACTTGTTATCGGGCTGATTTGTCATTGTTATCCTAAGTCGCTAGAGAGATAGCATTCCTGGAGTCATAACATAGAAATATAGTTATAACCAGTTCTCGGTACTTAGTGTCCTAGATATCATTGCTTTCCTGGTTATTCACAGTCTGGACGGGCACCTTGGAAGTCTGTTAAAGAATATCCGTTTATAATGTCGAATCACGTCTGTGGTAACCACATTTGTTAAAGCACATCCGTTGAACATATCGTATTTGTTATGAATTAGGAAATACGTCGTTTCTTCGTTATACATCGTAATATTTAGATACGAAGTAAGTTGCTTGACATCTGTGCACATTAGACAAATAAAAAAATCATATTCTGTAATGGCGTTATTTTGAAAAAGCGCAAAGCAGTGATCAGAATCGTGTTACATCTAAAATATAAATTTGCTTTGATAGATATGGAACGTGTATTTGACGTAAGCATTGTTAATATACCCTGTGGTTATACAGCATCGCAACTTAAACATTGTTACATTGTGTATTTTGATCATAATATGTTTCTTTTAACTGAATAAAAATACTTAGGAAGGGTGAGTGACGCCATGTCTATGTTATCTACAAACTATCTATCTTTGTTGACGTCACATCACCTTGACTTCCTTAAATATGTAGATGATGACGTAACGGTAATAACGCCGGCATGCTGCCACGTGTGATATCGTGCAGGAACAAGATTTCAATCACATGAGTTTTTAAAGCAACCTTTCATCAAATTAAATGGATATGTTATCTACGTAATGGCTCCTCAATGTTATCAGAAAACCAGATCAGGGACCAGGAAACCCAATCATCTAACCTACAGCTGAAACAACATCGTCTCCTCACCGACGATATGTTTTACCGGAATCCAATGACAAATCTGTTAAGTGTAAGATCTGTAGTGATATAAGTAAATAATTAAATCGCGAAGGTCGACAACAACATGTTTCACTGAAGATAACGGGCCTATTCGCCATTTTGAAGTCTGATGTTGCCTAATCGCTGTGGCGAGTAAAAGCACATAAAATAACATACGCATATCTGGAATTAACATGCATGTTCTTTCAGGTAGGCTTTCAATAACTTTAAATTATAATAAATTTAAAGCAATAACCACACAATTATCAGAAGACTATTTCCCTTTTATTGGCTTTTCCAACAGTTTTCAATAAATTTGATGTGACGTGAATCAATGTTTTCACACCCACCTCAGTTAGTAAGCGAAGTTCTTATTATTTTCTACTGACAGACAAATTCGTTTTCAAAACATGGAGATAGCTGAAAATTATGGGGAAGCTTTACGGTCGCCATAGTGATCTTATTGAGAATTTTCCTTTCTTTTGTGATATAAAGCTGGATGTGTTTGATGCTCTTTAGTTTGCCTGTTTGGTTCAGTTGTTGTATACCTTTTCTCATTTGAGAATGTGACACTTATTAGGAATGACCAAAATTTACAAGTCGCCGAAGAAGCGGAAGACGCTTATTCTACAGGAACACTCGGTCTTATAATCGTTATACTTTTCAGGAGTCTCCGTTCCTGTTTCGTCCTAGTTATATTGAATTTGAGTTTGGATTGTGAATATGTTGACATGTTGGTATTTGTTGTCTTTGACAGTGTAAACGACACTGTAGATTTTGAAGCACACACCGCCATACTCCATTCTTCACTAGGATAACGCTTTCATCCGCGCTGGTTTTGAGAATTTTCTTTTCAAGATTTGTATCTGACGATACAAGTGTATGGCGGTGAACTAGGCTGGATCTTAAATACGTTGTATTTGGATGAAATCCTAAGTACGATTGGATAACATGGCCGATATGACACGTAAATTTAGGCGAGAGCAGATCTGTAAATATGTCGTTATATCACGGAAGTTCTTGTCGGATTCTCCAAAAGACACACAATTCGGCATGGATTTATTAAAGTAAGCAAATTGAACATGTTGCTATTTCATTGACATTTTAGTGATGTCCTTTTCTGTTTATTATTACTGTTACAACTTCATTTTAACAGCGACTGTACTGAAATTTTAATTTGACCAGTTGGAATTTTGTCTTACCAATTTATTTAACCTTATAAATAAGCAAATTCCACTGGCTTTTCTTCATAATACGATCATGTCGTAAATACGTAAAGAGCTAAACAATTTTTCCTAAGAAGGGAAATGAGCAACTTCCGAGGCTTAATTCGCCTTATATTGAAATAAAATCGGGAAATGAATTTGTAGTTTTCCTTAACCTTAATATAATCAACTAACATTATCCGTTTTTTTTTTCATTGCAATACGATCTTTCCTAAAATATCGATGACGCACGTGCAACACTTTTGTGACATAATTCAAACGTCTCTAAAAGAGCCAAAATACTATATAAAAGCGCAGAGAAACTTTTACAGAAATTACATCCGGTTATGTGACACCCCCGATATTGCTGTACTTTACACAGAAATATCATTGCTTTTTATATCGATAAGTTGGTCACCGCTGACAACTCTATGAATATTAATATTTTGACCTACATCCGAAAGATTTATATCAAATAACAACTCTAAATCAATCAAACGGAGCAATTTGGCAATTCATATAATATCGTTAATAGTTATACTATTCTGTTAATCTCCAAACTGAAGTATACAACCTTTCATTATTAAACAAATTAGCGGCAAGGCTTCCAACTTTTAATGAGATATACTTGACATATTTAATTATCAATACATATTTCCATCTTTGCGTTGTAATTTGTATAACACATCAACACTATCTAGCCACAAATAATTTGTTTTAGCCAAATGAGAAAATGGAATGCAAATGATAAAATATATGTTCGGAGGGTTGCTATTAATCTTTATAAATATTTTAAGGGACACCATTTCATATAAAACAGGATAGTTGATATGACTGTGATAAGTCCAAGCTCATGACTGTGCCTCTATATTGACAATGGTGCACGTTTCTCCGGTATTGTAAGACTCCAAATTTAAACAGAGAAAGCATCGAACAGACAAGCATTTAATGGCACGAGATGTTTACGCAGCCTATTTTAGTTTACAAATTTATATTTATATACGCTGTCAAAGTAAAGGTACATTGTTTTGTTCATCAATTCGAAGTTATCATTTCTTAAACTTCCAAAAGGTCATTTAAGTCAAAACTAGAAACAATTGTGTCACATCGTCAATACCAAAGGACACATTCTGCATTTAATGTCAAAACAAGACAGCAAAACTCACCAGTTCTTTGATACAACAAGCTAATAGCTGAAAAAAATTATCCTAAAAAATGAAAATTTCAGTGGCGAGGATTACGTCTTCTGAATTCGGAATCAGAAAAGGGTCGTAATATCCGAATTCAGATACATGCCAATCACAAATTAAACACACGCTGATCTAATCTTAATTACTCGCTGATCATTAGAAATATTCTGTTTACAGCAGACAAAAAGCTACCAAACTGCAAGAAAATATCCACAGTGACGGATGCCTTAATGTTAATCACACAATGATGGGGATCGCTGGTAACACCCAGTCAAGTCAGTATAGCTTATTACACACCCTTCACACGCGCACGGGATTTATGTTATTGACGTGCCTTCAGAGAGAGCGTTTGGCGGGTTTACACTTAACCGTCTATCAGATTCAACACATTACATATAACCCTGTTTACAAGCAGCAGAAATAATACGTTCCGGAAAAATGTTTGATGCCCTAAACTCAATTTGAGGTAGAGGTTGAATTGCTACAGCCAAAGATATTATAGGCATATCATTGATAAGGATCAAGCTAATTGGAGCTTTATTAGTTACAAGTGTCGATGTAGAGGAGTTTTACCGCCCGTGAGGATAAGGAACCGTCGATCGGGCAATAATCAATAGCCGTATACAATATCATAGCTTATAAATTTTGAACGGGCGCTTAGCAGTCAAAGCAGTGAGCTGGCAGACATCAGCGGGATGTCATTTCTCTCACTAAGGTACAAACACTTACTTCTGTAAAAGTTGGCTAGTTATTGATAAAGGCACACTCGGAGTAAATGGTTGTTTAACTTTTTGACAATGAATAATTCTACCGGTATGTTACCTGTGGATTGGACTACAGACACTCCCGTGGTAACACCAGGACTCGTCACAGACAACAAGTCCGCTTACACTTCCAATTCAACGGAGAGATTCTTTCCTGTCCTGCAACATGCCATACCTATAATTGTCGTCTACACCATGGCTTATCTCTTAGTTTTTCTTTTTGCTTTCTTTGGAAATTTAATAGTTGTCATTGTCATTTGGCGGAATCGCTGGCTTCATACTGTCACAAACTTTTTTATCGTCAACCTAGCAGTGGCAGACATTTTAGTGGCAATATTCTGTGTTCCAATCACTTTGTTGACCAACATATATACAGGTAAGTAATATATTCACCGTGATGAGGTATATGCTTGTATATTATCGATCATATTGATTTCCATATCCATTGTATCGTATCGATTTTATTATTATGCATTCAACGTATGTATCAGGTTGGCAAGCCTTTTTTGTATTCTGAATTGTACTATTGAAATACTAGTTCACATACAAAGGTTTCCATTTGTTGGTTTTTTCCACATTTTTTATCTGGTTAAAGCCAATGAGCTAGTAATTGAAGACAACGTTATCAGGTTACGTGAAGACCTAAAAGAAAATATTTCCATTAATACTACCAACACAACAAGTTGACAATGAACAGTTCTTATATCTATTGATATTTAACTCTTCCATAGACATTCTATTCATTCTGGGACTAATGCTTCTATAAATTTAGAGCGACATGTCTTTTAATCGCGTTTGCTATTTCTTGAATCAATCGTTTCACGATTTAAACCGTTAGCATTACTGACGAGTTCTAGAGGAAAAATAACGCTCTTTGATTCAGTTGAATCAAATTCAAATGTACACGAATGTAGCTAATTTGTATTTCAGATCCGCTTTTTTTGTGATATTGGTAACAAAACCTTGAATATCGAATCAAATGCAAAATTTAAATAGTGTAGGTCGGGGTAGCAGGACTGTTACTACCAAGACATGGAACATTAATGAAAGGCAAGTCGAAATCATTACATTTGATAAATTGCTTCATTTGTGGACTTTAATGATGCATACTGAATTCCTAATTTGCGATGTAGTTTCGCTTGATTGAATCTAAAATTAGCTTCCCATGATATCAAACTGGTCTCAGGAGGATTTAGCTTGAAGATATTTTATAATCAGCTTTGATCCACTTCCGAACTTATGGTGTTAACATGTCGCAGATAATTCGATATTGAAGGGCTTGTTCCTGATATCACTATTTTCATGCTAGATCTCGACAACTGACAGGCAAAAACCACAACATAAGACTCCGAGAGATGCAGGCTAGTGAAGATTACGGGGAACGTTTACACTGATTGTAATGATTTCATTAGGAAAAAACATATTTTCTTATGCGGACGTGTTTTTCATTCTCGTTATTTTGTCAAGTTGTTGTTCATCATGTTCTCATTTGTAAACGTTAAATTACTTACTTGAATTGACCAAGATTTACACTGCGGGTGCCGCCGATGACGATGAGGTTGAAGACGCTTATACTTCTGAAACATCTGGTCTTATTCCCTCTGTTGTTCAAATTTGCCTTAGTTTAATTGAATTTAAGTTTGAATTTGGTGTTGCTTACATATCGGTATGTTCGTTTTTATATGAGTGTTAGGGAATATATGTATGTAACCGCATTTTAAATTTAAAATTTTCATTTTTACTACTTGTCCCATCAGTACCTTTTAACGATGTAGTTATAATGAATTCAAAACTATATATACTCGGATTGACATTAAAGCTTGTGTATACCAACAAATATAAACAGTTATCATTAGCATTATAGGACACATTGCGATAACTTGAAATTGAAGAATTTTGGCATTCCATAAAGAAAATGAGTATACACTTGAGGACAAGAGACGAAAGGCATAAACAATTTATGAAAAGCTAGCAGTTTTCTTATGTAGTTCGGATAGGATTTGATGAAGAGAAACACAATCTTATATAGGTTACCTACTTCCTTATGAAATTTGAACAAAATTTTACTAACCTGCTTGAAGGGAATAATAAAAGTCTACCTGTTGCCGTCATTGTATGATGTTAAGAGGCGACTAATGCTGTGATATTGTCTTTCCTGCTTTTTCTAAACAATTGTTTTTCCTAATGCTTTCCAGGACACTGCCTCACCCGACATAGAAATGTCTTTAAAAAGGGTAGCTTATACTCTGTGAAAGGCTCAGCATTGTGGTATTGTAACGACTGATGTGCCCTTTGTCAATAAAACGTGGTCGAGTTTCTTGTCCTGCACTGAACATTCAGCACCAGTTTCATAGCAACCTTAGAACGATCTTAGTATCATATGAACAGTGAATAATTTTCTTACGTAGGTCGTAAAGATTTCATGGACACAAAGCACCCAATTAATGTAGTAGGTTATGATCTTAAGAATGAAAAACCAGCTCTACTGTGGAAAATCTTCTGCGACGTGAAATAACTGTGCCTCTCTGTTTGCTGACTGTTTTGTCTTCATACAAGACTGATTTTATCGAAAGGTTTATCGAAACAGATCACAAACACCTTACAAAGTCCTTCAATTTCACTTTCAGATATGTCGATGACACTTTGTCTTAGATAACAACAGATTCCTTGACCATGTCTATCGTATATACCCTCCAGAATAGAAAATCAAGAACTTGACAGACTCTTCTACACCAGTCACTTATCTCGGTTTTTCCTACAACGAAAACATCATGCAATTTTTTCCACTTCTGGATAGCATGCATCCCTAACATATGGCTATAACATATTGCAGCAGATTCAATACCCAAGTGCCCGTTCCAAAAGAAGAAACTTTCTCTCTCAGAACACCTGGTCTACTTTTTTATGTACCATTCCAGGAATCTGTGTGTAAACCTTTCTGTTGTTCATATTTCCCTCTAGTTTTAGTGGAACGATGTTTGAATTGTGATTATCATCTCATGTTGGGTTTGTTGCTTTTGTGTAGGTCCGCTTCTTTCTTCTGAAAACTGAAGTACTTTCTGCTGTAATATGTATTCTATCCTTTGTAGATCTAATTTGTTATTGGTTTAGGTGTTTTCTCTGAATATGAATGTATTAACAAAGGACACAAAGTGTATAGTATCCTTCAATACAAATTGTAATAAATGTAATAGATTCGATATAAGTTAAATAATGAATTACGTGATGAACATGATAATAATAGTGCTACTAATAATCACGATGAGGATTCATTTCCAGTTTTGTTTCTCAGTACAAAGAGGTTGCCGTCAAGGTGATCCTATCTTTATTATGTTTCCTCAAAAAGTACTTTTTCCCATGCATATTCCTAACCAATGTCCAGACAGAATAATATGCTGCATCGCCGTAAACCTCAGGGAATCAAGTTTATATTGTCAAAATGTTCTCAGATCATGAACCACACTCCTATCCTATGAACACATCGTTTCTAGGAATAGGCCGCATATTTGCATCAACAATACTGGATATTCAATGACATTAATTTAAACTTTAAATATTCAATCTATTCGATCTTGTTTTTAAGTCAAACATTGCCTTCATGATGTTGATTTCTCTATAACTCTCATCATATAGTTTATCACAGTCTCTTTATAACATATATTTTTTTTCGCCTAGCTAATATGAAATTTTGTTATGCTGCCAGCTATTAAAATGGATGCTACTCTACAATAACCTTAACCTTTAGGCCTAGATGAATGAGGGGTGTAAAATGTATGGAAGACGATCATTATGGTACTTGGTTAGCAACTTGACTGTAAAACCATAACTAATACGAAAGTGATGGTATTGTTATTGCTGTTCTTTGCAGTTACTTACTGTAACACACAATCAATTACCAACATGGGTATATAAAGATGCCAAAGTATTGAGAACCCTTCAAATTCCCTCGAAAACCAGTATACATCACAAAATCACTTCCTTATTGTCTATAAATGGGTTTACGATTTTTCTCTGAACGCCGCTGAAGAGCGTGCAGTTTAAAGGGTTTCATATTTATGACGTCTCTCTGAAAAATATGTGAAAGGTAATATTCGTACCCAGCCGTTTTTTTTTTTTTTTGACAAGTGATGGATTACACTGAAATACCGATAAAAGCAGTTTTATTTTCTCACCTTGAAAGAATTGCTTTTCTCTAGTCCAAATTATGTCAAGTATAACGCATTAAGCGTTAGAATATATCAAAAGAAGCTGTTGTATGTTGTAATTGTTAGAGACTCAAAATAATTTCACAATAACGTGCCAATGGAGTGGCACTAGGAACATAACTATTTCATTTTCAATAAACATTACATCTGTATGTATCTTCAAATACAATTATATGACTTATCAAAAATAAATAAAGTCTAACTCATGATTTGGACATATATAACTTGTATAACAAAAACACAACTGGAAAATAACATGTCAACATAATCATAATTCAACCTCCATAAAATAGGGTGGAATATGACTTACACGGAGACTCCATAGAAAGAATAATCGTCTTCTGCTTCATTTACGATACCCGCCATGTCAGTCTTAATCAATCCAAGTAATGTCATGTTCTCAAATTAACGAGCATCAAATACGTCCGATTTCATATCGCAATTTTTTTTTTCAAAAAATATCAAATAAAATATTCACCCATAATTTTCATCAACCTACATCGTTTGAAACCCTGCATTACGAGTTTGTCCGTCAGTTGACGATTTCTTGCTTGGGAATCGTGATCATCTGCAAGATTTATATAAATTGAAATCCAGATGATCATTTCTTCTTCTTAACAAATCTCTAACCATCTTGATTTTTCACCTTGAATAGTAAATTGCTGGTATGTTTTTGATACATCGAACACCTCATATATATGCTAGATGTGTGAACATACTGTTCACTGCAATTAATCGAAGTGGCAGGTAAAACGTTGAAAGCTACTAAAAGACCATTGACATAAGAGTATCTTTCTTTTCCTGTAGACTTGATTAATTTTATCTTTAATATAGCTTAGATGTAACTTTCATATTAGATTGAAAGATGTTATTTATTTGTTTACAATCTTCGACAAATACTTATCACCATTCCTTGTTAGAACAAGACTTTGTGTTGTATATTCTATACATTGGATTGTGAGTGATCTCGCTGATAGCAGATATGAATTCAACGCCCAGATGAGATATACCAAACATTCTGCTGTCATATAGGTTTCACGCGAATGGTCAAATAACGTGATATCTTCTCATGTCTGATTCGAACCCCGGACGAAAGGTCGATGTGACAAGGAACGGGAAATGGATTATAATCAGCATCGGAGTAAAACAAAACAGGCGCTCAGTTACATTT